AAATTTTTAACCCTTTCTATTACATCATTTTGGGGCTTGGAACAAAGCTCATCACGGAAGGCAACTAGACAATATGAACAAACTTTATCCCATAATTCAACTTGATTTTTTCCAAAAGACCCTTTGAAGAAAATTTTTAAGAGCATAATATTACAACATTGACATTTCACTTTAATAATTGAAACTCATCCCAAGAATCATTAATTCTAACTTTAGCTCTCATTATGCCAAGTCTTTTGTAACTAAACTAGAAAAAATGATACTTTTGTATAGCAGGCAGCTTATGATACAATGTACCAAGTACTGAAATCCAGTCACAGAATGGTCTGATTTGATTTTTCAAATTTATTGCATTATTGTTATAAGTGCTTTTTTTTATTATGTCTACTAATTGATTGATGCACCAAACTTTTGATCTAGCATACTTCTATTTTATAAAGCCAAATCCATGATCTACTGAATTTCTAATATGACCTTTAATTTGAAAGCAATATTCAACCTCTTCAAACATTTGTGTGTGGCAAGTCCAAAAAAAGTACCAAAGTAGACAAGAATTCTTATTTTGTTCACCACAATTATTTGCTTATAATCAAAGTTTTTTTGCTTCATCTTCAACGGAGATAAAAAATAGATACACTATTGAAGTAACTTCATTTGCTCTTTTAAAAGCTTTTCTTTCTGTATAAATTATATGCCAGTGTTTATTAATACTTTCATCTACAAAGCCGAATTGGTGTGCTTTTAATAGTGATAAATAATACCACTTTCTGAGTTGTTGAGAATCATGAGGCAATTCTATATCTTGTACAAAGTCAAAAAAAAAACACAAAACAGAGATTGATCACATATCTTGACAGTTCATATATCATCTTCATAGATACCTTTCATTGCTCAATAATTGGCTATATAGGTTGATAATTGTATATCAAGATCTTTATTTATATTATTGCTATTTTTTTTTAATGACCGTTTGAATAAGAAACATTCATCACACATGTCTTTGGATAGTTTTCTAATTGTGACTTTATTAAGCTTAGGGTCATTTTTCTATATTGTTTGAAAAGTTCAGCGACTTTTAATCATATTATTAGAATTTATTAGGTTATATCCTGCAAAAAGTTGGCTATAAGAGTACTGAGAGAGAAGAAGAACACTATTATATTTTTTGTAGATTACTATTATCTGTCCATTTGTTTTTTTTCATGTATATTTTTGAACCGCTAATGCTTCACTATGTTGTTCACTAATACAATTAATAAAAGATTTTGCTTTATTAACTGTTTTAGTAGATAAGGTAATTTTGGGTAGACAACCAGTATTTCTATGAGGTCAGAGTAATATAGATTTATATTCCTGAAGCCACTTATGAAGATTATATAATGCATTTTTGTCACACATCTAAAATGTTTGAAAAAAGGCATGGCAAACCTTATCAAAATATGGAAGTTGATAATTTCTGATATAAGATCAGTTTTCTGATAACTTATAAAAGAGGTTATAAGAATCATCATTGAATAACATTTTTGATTTTTGTCTATTCGAAGGCTTTCTAGTATCAAGGATTGTAAGAGGTTTGGCGAAACTTTCTTAATGCAGATTTTTTTATACAAACAACATTTTCTAAATTTATTAATTAAGTTGTTTATATCTATTTGGTCTTTTTCATTAAATCAACCAACTTCTTCAAATTCTGTTTTATCATTTTCTTCATTAAACTGATTAATTTCTTCAAACTTATCTTTTCTAATATCTTCGTATTGCGAATCATCATCTGACTCAAGATTAGCAAAATCTGGCATATCAAAAATTGTTTTAAATCTTGGATAACAGTACTAGAGGATTCTATTATTAAATTAAATGTATTAGCGAAATAATAAGTTTTTATATAATATTAGGATATTAATTAGAAAATTAATTTTATAAGAATGAAAACTTTCTTGTTTGTCTATTTATACAATTTTTTCAATTTAAAATCAATTTATTACAGATTTATTACAGATTTATTACAGACTAATTATCTTGACCGTATTAAAGATTTATACGATTAATTGATTTTGCAAACATATTAAGTTTAATATATTATAGCTTTTAACAAACCTGAAATCAACAATTTAGATAACAATAGACTAGAACTACAGCTATTATAAACCTGGTATAGGCTAACTTGTCAAAATATTAATCACCTATATAACAAAAAAATTAATGCTAATCGCTATTTAAAAAAAAAAAAAAAAAAAAAAATACTAATCGCTAATAATAAAAATTGATAATAATCGCCTATTTGATAAAAAAAAATGCTAATTATTAATAATAAAAAATTGATAATAATCACCTATCTAATAAAAAAAATTGCTAATCACTAATAATAAAAAATTAGATGTTGGAAAAGCATTTGCAGATGCACTTTGTAAGAACACGACGCTGCCTTTTTTCTTTGGAGTAATAATCATGGATCAGAATGAGGGAAAGAATTAGCAAATGCTCTTTGCAAGAACACCACGTTAGCTTCAATAAAATAAACTGAAGGAAAAGCTTTTGCAGATTTACTTTGCAAAAATACCACGCTAACTTCATAGAATCTTGAATCGAATGAAATTGGATCAGAGGTTGAAAAAAAGCATTAATAGATGCACTTTGCATTAACAATACCTTGAAAGAATTGCATATTAGTAATAATGCTTATTTTATTATAAAACCTAGTAATTTTAGCACTGAATTTACTAATTAATTATATATTGTGTAAATATAATAAATGATTTTAAGGGGAAATTCTATTAAGGGCCGAAAAACGAAAATAATTACAAATATTGAAAAATTTTACAATTAAGGACCAAAATAACTTTGCGTTATGGCAACAGCAGTTCTTTGAAAGTTATCACTGTATATACAGTATGACTTTATGCACTTAATATTATATCCTTTCGCTTAACGAACTTTCTATAACCAAGATACAGTTCGACTAGGGAAAGTACGATAATTATTAATCTTGTAATATTTATTATGTTCTAAACTAATATATATATCCTATACGAAAACTAGTGAATCTTATTTTGTGGTTATTATGCGCATTTAAATTCGTAAAGAAATTTAACTTGGTCATAGTTTTATATGCAAAACCCTGAGAATGAA